CTGCTCTATAGATTCATGCTTGCCTGACATCTTTACCCAATCTGAGCATGAGATTTATTGCTTTTGTAGTGTGTCTCAGCTCCTAGATCAAAGGTAGACTTGATGTATAATTTCAAAAGAAACCTGAGCATTTTTGGATTTCGTGTTTAAGAATCAGAAGTCGTGATTTCTTTTTTCTTAAAAATGAAACAAAAAACATACAAGCAGTAACTGTAATCCCAGATGAACAAACATGTGGGACTTTGAATCCTGAACCTCTGAAACTTTATGGGTGTAACCAAGGCTTCAAACCAAGGCCAACCTCTGACTTTTAAACTTTGACTTGCACCAGAAAACTGGAAGGAAAGAGTTTCTTCTCTGAAGAACTGTTAGGCAAACTCTGTGAAATGGCAGTCACATTTATTTGTAGAAGTTTGCTGTGGGATGTGTTGGGCCTGTGGCAGTCGGCACGGAGGAAGCAAGTGTCTGGTAGAGGGGGCTTTGAAGCACGTTGCATGGAGATCTCACTGAGCTGCCTTTGGGTCCCTAGTACACAGAGCCCATGGTTGCTTATATTTTAAGAATGCTTTTCCTCCATTCATGTGATTGGCTTTAGCAACTGTCCAGGGAAGCTGTAAGACTTCAGAATGTTTCAAAAGTGTTTTCAAATTTGCCTGTCCTTATAAGTTTGAATACAGCAGCTGCAGGAACACAGTGTTGCTGTGGTTTTTTTCATGCTCTAGAGCAAGTTAAGAAGGCAAGACTGCACTGACCACAGCAAGAAAATGAAGAGGAAACAAAGCTGTAACAGTGGGATACTTCAAACTCCTGTCACATCCCCACTGTGGGCTGAGATATCAGAGGATCATTTGATTTAGATTTAGCACTGCTCTGTATATGTTGAAGTGGAAGGGCTATACAATGGTTTTGCAATGTTAGCAATCCCTGCAAAAATGCTGAGACACAAGGGACCAAGGCCATCCCTAGCTGCATGTGTCTCTTAGACCATGGCAGAGGGAGGTGTAAACTCATCTGTGTAGTCCAGATGGATATCAAAGGTCCTATAGCTCAATCAAAGCTGGGAGGATGATGCAGAAGTTATAGCATGAGTAATATTACAGCCTTTATTATGCAGGTCTGTTGTATGATCACAATAGCTTGTCATAAGTCATGAAAAGCTATTTATTTCTTCCACTGGAAACCTGGGGTCCATATGGATTTGTAGTCTTGAGTTGAAAGTGGACCACACACTCTAGCCTGTCTGACGGTGTGTGTAATCTGACTGTGAAATTGCAGCTAGGAGCAGAATTACACTTTGCACTTACAAAGCAGCTTCTATTAAGGGCTTGTTCTCTAGGGAATGGATGCAAAACACCAGAAGAACAAGACCCAACTCTTCCTAGCGCACCATGTTTGACAAATTAACTTTTGACCTTTCAGTGGCTTTGTACAAATATGGAATCCTCTGCCTCCATATACAGGATTTCAGGTTATTAGGAAGAATGTATTTTTACTATTCCTCTTTGCAGTATTACGCCTTTGTGAGGCACAAAGCAACGTTGATGTATGCAGCAAAATAAATGTTGCAAACCTGTTGTTTTCATATTTCTGCAGTGTAATGACTGGCTTATAAGAAAAACTCAGGGGTAATGATATGAAAAGAGTCTATTTTATTTTTGACTTCCAGTGCTGGACAGTGGAGATTAACTCTGTTGTGTTTATTTTCAGACTGGATTTTTCCATCTGCCCCATGGAGACTACTTCATTGAGCCCATTAAAAAGCATCCACAGAAGGAGGGAACACCCCATCCCCATATTATCTACGGGGCGAAGGTCCTTCAAAATGCTTTAAGGAGAAGACGGGCGATCCAAATGGAAAAAGAACAAGCATGTGGCTTGAATGGTACAAGCATTGCTGGATTTCTGCCTGTTTGCTTTCTGTATCTTTTTAAGCAGCTTTTATTTTCCCGTGGTGTGTGCCTTTCCTTCTGCTAGCCTTTTTATAAATTCTGTAAAAAGAGATAATGCAAAATGAGAACATCTCAGTCAAAACACCCTGGGAGCCACCCATCTGGGTTCCTTTCTGAAAACTTAAATCCTCCTTGTGACTGATGGGATATGTTTTTCACACAATTGATACTTTCTATCCTTCACTTTCTTCTCCAGCCAGAACTGTTCAGTGAATTTTACATGAATTCTTGAGCACTTCTGGGATGTTGAGAATTGCAGTCATTATTATTTTTAATAAAATATTGTTACACCATGAAAATGCTGTCTTCAACATAAAATATCTCCCTTCTAATCCATGGTTTAAATTTAGGATTTCTAGATTCTCTTTGATAGTTACCTAAATATTAGAAGACTTTTATTTGGTTGTTATGAAAGTGGAGTGCAAGACATCAACAGCAAGGTGTTTTTTGTAGAAGCGTAAGTAAAAATAACTAAAATATTGGTGCAGTAATACTGAATGTCCTGTTTTTTGGGAAAAAGAACTGATACACTATCCTGGAAAGAAAGAGTATATCTAGAGGGTAGTTGGCATCTTCTCACTACAAAATGAGTTCCTTTACTTAGTAAAAGCACTTACTTGATTGACTTTATACCAAAAATTTACAGATACTGCATTGGTTCTCTGATGGCCTTCAAGGTGAGTCTGCACCAAACTTTAGAAAAAGTACAGTAATGGTAGGGAGCATGAGTAATAACTTAAATGACATAGGGCCCAAGTTATGTACAAATAGAGCTGCAGAATACACAGGGGTGTGTTTCTATCTGTTTTTCTCAGGTTAATGGTTAAAGAGTAGCTGGTTCTTTTCCAGGGGTGGAAAAAAAAAGGACAACTGTAGAAAACGTAATCCTCAGTCATGACTGCTGCTGAAGTTTTACTGCTGTTTAATATCAATTGATAAATGAACGAAACAAGCAACGACTCACCCTGCTGTATTTCTGATCATAGACCTGCTTTGCGCTTCTTGCTTGCTGGCCAAGAGCAGTGTGAAATGATAGCTGGGGGAAACTGGGAAGCTGATGGCTAGTGGGGAGCTCTTCGGTCATCTGTGTTATAGGGTAGGTGAGGATAAGGGGAAGCCGTAAGAATTAATGTGCATGCTGGTCCTTATTATTTTTCATCAAATAAAAATGTATCTACTTTTTAGACAAATAAGCCTGAAGCTGAAAAACCATGAGCATCTAATGTTGATGTCTGTTTTGGCTTAAATCTAGGACAGTTCTCTGATTTTCTGTTTTCTGATGACTGCTGGGATAAATGAGAGGAATTAGTTTAGATTTGCCCGTGAAGAATGAGGAAATGTTCTTGCCTACTGTCTTCCAGGTTTCTTTTATGCATGAAATAACATCTGTAAGCAATCATTTTAAGTATGGAGAGAAGGTAGGAGATACCAGCAGTCATGCTGTGTATTTGCTTTGTGTAGCTTGCTTATTTTCATTCAGCCTCTCGCTTTTTACCTCTTGTATCTTCCTTCAAAGTCCTGCAGAATGAGACAGAAAAAGACTGGCTGTACCTGGATGCTGGGAAAAATTGAGCATAGCTTCCCTGAGATTTCATCACTTAGGCTGAGTTTGCTCTAACAGGCTTTTGAATTTAAACTGCCTGTCTGATGTTATTTATTCTGATGTTATTCATCATCATGTGACAAAACTATGCCTGGTGGTAATAAGAAGTTCATGATATTCCAGGCTAACAAAGGGAGTGTCTTATGAATTAACAAAGTAATATACTGTCATTTATGTTTCTATGTTTAACTGACTCAGTTGGCCTTTAGAGGTAATGTCTGCTTTTGGTCAAGCAGTAATCTGCTTGACTGTCAGAAGTTAAGTAATCGGCATGAAAAAGTGCGTGGGGAAAAGAAAGCATTTCCTTCATTACATTTTTACCCTTTGTGTGACAGGATATAACAATCATTGGTTCCTCTAAAGGCCTTAACTCTTAATTTGTGCATTATGTTTTGTTATCTCACTTCTGTTGTAGCCAGCTCTTTGGCAAGGGTAGAAGCAACAAGAATTCAGAGTCATCTCTTGTTTCCATTATGCATTGTCAAAAAGCAGTTGCTCTTGTTAGAAGTGAAATATGGAACAAAAAAGGAAAGTGAGTTAACTCTTGCTTTCTGGGCTAAATATATTCACTACACAGGCTTTGACTAATACTTGGTGCATAAATAAATTTTAAAGGTGGAAGGCTGACTCTTCCCCATTTTCAAGACCTCAAGTGCTTCTTGCTGTTAAGTTTGATGCTAGAAGTCTGGTACACCCACGTGATATCACAGATGACCCAGAGTAATACCTTTTGGGATCACTGTAAAGCAAAACAGTTTAAGTTTACAGTTCACATTTAACTGTAGAAACAAATTGTATTTTACAGATTACACATCATGACCAATTTGTATTCTCAGCCCTAGCTTTATCCCCACTAAGCTGGGGCATAACTGATGAAGAGTTGCCTGCCAGACCTCTTGTAGGAACTGGTTTTCAGCATCAAATATTTCTACCTTGTGGGCTGAGATTGATCACACAGAATGTCTACTTCTGTTTATTTGAGCTCTGATCCTGTTTGGTTTTTTAACCTTAAGGTAAGGCAATTGAGTCATTTCTAAGATTTATGCTTGGGAATCACTTTGTGTGCCCAGACTAAAATGTAGTGGTGATTTTTTGTTGGAAAGGTTGAAAAACCTGAGTGCTTTCAAGTCCGTGGACAAAGTTGGGTGGTGGTTATAGTAATCTTTTAGTCAGAACTAACCTGTCTGTCAGGCAAGGAATATAAAGACTAGCTGTAATGGCAAAATCAAAGGAGAGGAATTAGTATGGAAGGGATTAGGTAGATGGTGCTGACCTCCTGTGTAGTCTTTTTCAAGCTCTTTTTAATGCAAGGGTCTTGTTGCCTTTTGGAAGAAGCCTTGTGCAGCCTGCTCACGACTTATGTGGTTGTTGCCATAGCAAGAATCTCCGGGCTCCAACCTGCTTGTCATCTGTCTCATCTATATACAGTAATACTTTGGCATCGGTTACATTCCTGTGCTTTGGCAATGATTATATTAATTAGTTTGTAATTTGCAATATTCTTAACAATTTCAGATATTTGGAGAAAAAGCATTGTGAGAAATGATATAAATTAAAACTAGGTTTGTGCTGTGCACTTCCACTGCTGCTTGGGCAACTGCCAGGTGACTCAGTCATTAGCTGCACTCAAAACTGAGTGCTAATCTTGAAGCAGCATTATGATACTGTACATTGCAAGATGCTGTATTACTGATTCATTAGATACCTGTATGAGAAGTAGCAAAAATGATAAATGAAAAGTGACCCTGAGCTTTATAAATAACTTCTCTAACTGTTTGTGCCTGCAGGAGAGGAAACTATGGGTTTGGGGATTTGTCTTTTCTTTCAAGATAGGTTAACTTAAACACTCGACAGTGCTTTGAGATATAATGGAAGAGAGAAAGTATTATCCGCCCTTCTACAGAGTAAGAAAAGATCTCCTCCCATTTCTTAACATTTGTTTTCATGCAGTCTGCCACAAGTTATTTGTTTGTTTGTGACCTGCAAAATGGAGATGTTTTGTGAAGTTTGTGAATGAAAATGCTGTGACATAATGGAGCCCTTCCTGACTCAGCACTACAGAGGGGCTGATATGGTACGAATAGATGGACTTCTTGGACTGGTGAGGTTGTCAGGTTGCTGTGGTTTAGAAGGAGGGTAGCTGAGTTTATTTTGTCTGCAACCCAGTGATTGCTGCAGTGGGCTGTAATACATGACTAGGGAAAGAAATATTTAGGGTTTTAAAATAGATTTCTGATAATACTTCATTGGAGCTTTAGGTGTATAGAAGTTGTCATATGCTCTGCCCTCATTTTGGCATTGAAAAGATTTAAAAGATGAGTTCCACACAGTTCAGAAGTTAGGATTAGTTTGGGTTATACATGGACCTCCAACTCCTTGTCAGCAGGGGAGTTATAAATGTTATACTGAACAGTTTGCATCTGGAGCTGGGGTGGGAAGGAGGAGGCAGAGGCTGGGTGCTGTGTGAAATGAGTAGAGGGATGAGGGGAGCTGAAGGAGTACAACAACATCATCTCTGCAAAACTGTTTTTAAGTCTTTTGAATCATGGCCTGGTGGCGTAGTTCATTTAACAGGTGACTAGGATGCCATTAAGCTGTTCCAGACCATAGTTATTTGTTCTTCTTCATAAGGGTTATGTCTGAGTGCAGGATTTTGTTGAATCATGATCTTGCTTTTTGATGATTAACTTGATACTGCCAGAGGATTCTCTGCAATTTTTCTGCCTGCAAGTGTACAGCATAAACTGTTAGTCTTGGCTTTTGACAGTGAAGTCCTTTGTTTAACTGCTTGGAAGAGGGAGGGGAAAAAAGCCCAGGACACTGTTTTATTCTCAAAGGACAGCCTATCTTTTCTTGGAAGAACATTGTGGCTGATGTAAGCAGCCCTTCTTGCTGGCACAACCCCTGGTGCATGCTGTGTAGCTTCCATATCTTTTAAAGATTGATGCTGCAATTTTTCCAGTATTTATTTATCCTGTATTTAACCACATCAATTACTATTCAGCTTAATTTGCTTAGTTTCTCCAAAACACAGAGATTCTTATTCTTAGGGTGGTAAATTGACACATTGAATTGTAGTAACCGAGATTAATTCAGTGTAGAGGGAAGAGCAGCTTTCTGCCTGCATCGCTGTGCTTTCCATGAACAGGCTTTACTAACCTGTTTAAAAGGTGCTTGCCATGAACAAAGAGAAAATAGATACATACAGTCAGAATGACCTCTATTTTAAAGCAGGAACAAGGAAACAAACAGCCTGCAGGAGTACACGGAGTGTCTCTCATCTCTGGAACAGTTTGCATTGAACTGAAAACAGTGAGTGCTGGCTTGTGC